ATGTGTGGAGGAAACACTGGGAGAGAGAAGCTGCTCCTTTCTTCCTCGTCAGTCCTGGTGTCTGTGTGCATTTGATCTGAGGACGCCGTCACACCCTCAAAACTTCACAGTCCAAGTCTAACAAACACCAGAGTGACGTCAGAACCAGTCTAACCTGTGGCAGAAACCCAGTCAGTGTCAGAGAAATCACACATCAGATGATGTAGTTCTACTATCTGTCCACTAGATGGTGCTAACTGACCATCTAATGAAATAAAGATCAGCACTGAAAGATGGAGTGAAGCAGCAGTGTGGATCACATTGGTACACTACTATACATTGGACATATTATTATTATATTACTATTATTATTATTATTGTTTAAGTAATCACAACTATCAAGCAAAGGGACATAGTAGTGAGATTAGCAGCAGCATGGCAGGAAGTTCAGTGTATGTAAAAGTAATATGATAATGTCAATGTCGATAAAGTATATTATATAGTTTTGTCATTAGAATTAGAGTTGTATGTATTAATATGTTTGATATTAATACATTTTGCTGACATTAGGCTTTTGTACTGTTTACTTTGTGGCATTTGTAAATAAAGATCTGAGTACTTCTACCATTGTTCATCCTTAACAAAGAGACTTTTAGTTTGGAAATCAGCAAGGAAGCACTACTGAAAGCTTCCTGTGGCATGCTAACTCTTTCTGTTCCGTATCCTGTCCGTTAGCATCAGATCCAATGGGATTGAAGCAGCAGATCCTGTATGTGTGGATAAACTGCTTTAAGTGGACTTTGTGTGAACTTGTGGGATGTTTCATCGCAGACTCTTTCAGTTAGCCAACAATGCTAAAGGAAGTGAGTGTAGCATACAGTGTGTTGTAAACACATTTCCTTAATGTTAAAGCAGCAAAAAAATAGAATAAAGATTGTTCATGAGTCCCAAATCTCAAGTCTGAGTAAAGGGTGAGGGTTTGTTTACTACACTGCAGTGTAGGTTTAGCTTGGAATAGCTAGCAGCAATACCAAATTCTGAAGGTAGCTCCTATGAGGGCTTAAAATCAATATTCTCAAATGACTTAATTTGACGAATAAATCAATTTCACTACAAAGTACCTGTTTGTAAGTACAGCTGAATGTCTACTGCAGTGGCAGACCAGTGGTACTGAATATACAAACTTTGGTAACATTTTATTTTTATTTTATTGATTGATCTGGAGTTGTAACGAAAGTAATTTCCCCCTGGGAAATAGTATTTTTATATCAGTATCAGTATTTCTGATTCTGATTTTGTGGGTTACATGATAAATCACAGCAGTAACATTTGTTGGTGGTTTAAAGGCGCATCAAACTATGTTGGTGTAATCAATTAGTTTAGGCTATTAATGTTTATTAATGATCAAAGATAATAAAAAAATGGCTTTAATTAGTATTTAAATTTCTCGGGGAACCATCCTTAAAGAAGGAAAACAATAGCCAATAATTGATTGATCATTTTCATAAAATCATCATTTAGTGACGGAGTTCATCATGTTGAACTACAGTAGCACAGAACGGATAAACCAAACACTGTAAATCTACAGACTGGACCTTTAAAGATTAATGTTCAAAACAAAACAGTTGGGTAATAAGTAGCAATAATAAACAACATGCAACATAGGTTACAACTTCAACTGTTTAATCTCCAAAGAAAACAATAAAATAGTGCAGCAGCATTTTCCACACAACTTCCCCTCAGCAACGCAAAACACACAGTGAGGGAGAGATTGGAGGAGCTACGGAAACTCAGGAGGAACAGAAGAGGCAGTGGAAATCTCATACCATTACAACCCTGGTTCAAAATCATGAGATGATCTCTGAAAGATTTCTCAGGGATAACAAATTGTAGCTGACTAAGCTGGCTTTGGTTTAAAGTTGGCTCTCAACTTTTGTTGTTCAAGATCTGTGAGATCTTGCAGCTTAAAGAAATGGTCCATTAGTGACCTCCTGAGTCCTGACAGGGCCTGTTTCATGACCCAGGGGTCATGTGAACAGCAAAATTAGGAAAGCTTCACTCAGTTCTCAGTGAAAGATCAACACACTGCACTTCCAGATATGTTGTAGAAAATGTACTCAACTCTGGACCAGTCAGGAGGGAGAGGAGCTTGGAGGGCTGGGGGGGCTGATAGCAGGTTCACATTCACTCCTGTCCCTGTGAAGAGTGAAGAAGATGATGAAGAGAAACCTCAGTCCTCACAGCTTCATCAAAGCCAAACTGAAGAGAACAGAGA